AGTTTCACTGAGGTGTGGGTGCCTGCCACCTGCCCACCAGAGGCACAGAGAGGCCACCAATATGGCTTGCCTGCCTTGAAGAGCCATTTCAGAGGGCTTGGGAGTTGGCAGAGAAGACCCAATGCCACTGCTTCCTAGCTGTGTGACATGAATCAAATCCCTTTTCAGCCCTGCATCTTGTTCTCAGCAGAACATCCGGGAAAGTGGGAGGACTGGGTGCTGGAACATACAAAGGTGCCATCATCACCCCAACATTCCTGGCACACGGGGAAGACCCAATTGCCTTCCCTGTCTTCCAGGCTGAACATGTCACCCGACCTTTCGGCCCTTTGCAAAACCGTGCCTAGCTTCTGCCACCCAGTGATCAGGCAAATTGCATTTCCCAGCCAAGAAAAGAAGGACTGGGGATCGTGAGTGCAAGAGGGACTCTTAGAGGATCATCAGAGGGAGCTGAGGGCTGCTCTGACTTTCACCTCTGAGCAGGAGGCCTTTCAGAGCCGGGCACTCCCATTATCAGTGGCCGCAGCCCACTGGTTATCTTGCCTTTCCACCTGGCAACCCCAGGTGTTCCGTCATCCATCACTGGCCATTGTCTGCTGCCCCATCCGCCTTTCCCGGCTGCCTCCTGCGAGGCGGGCCTCCTTGTTAATAAGCCAGTTCCTCCCTATCCTGAAAACTATCTGATTCTGGCCCCTTTTATCCCAGCCATCCTCCATCCATCAGTGGCTTGCTCCACATGCTTGCTTAGGAAAATGGGAATGGGGTCGGGAGGGAGACAAATAAAAGATAAAACTTCTTCGTGGCTATCTCTAAAGTAATAGAATGGATAAATAGATCCGTCACACATGTATCATGCCACCGGAAAGCAAAGTCCATTTATTAAAAAAAAAAAGAAAGAACAGGTTTGTAAAAGAGAATTTATCTCACATTTTAAGCTGTTAATATAGAAGGGAAACATATTTTCCTTTATCTCTCAGCAGCTCAGGGGAGAGTCCCAACACCATAATACAGGATTTTTTTTGCGGGGGGAAGGGTGCATACCTGGCAATAGTCAGGACTTCTGGCAGGGCTCAGAGGATCATATGAAGTGCTAGGGATCAAACATGGATCAGCTGCCTGCAAGGTATGTCCCTCATCTCCTGTTCTATCTGTCTGGCCCTATGATGTAGGATTTTCTTTTTTTTTTTGCTTTTTGGGTCACACCCAGCAATGCACAGGGGTTATTCCTGGCTCTGCACTCAAGAATTACTCCTGGCGGCGTTCAGGGGACCATATGGGATGCTGGGAATTGAACTCAGGTCAGCCGCGTGCAAGGCAAACGCCCTACCCGCTGTGCTATTGCTCTAGCCCCTGATATAGGATTTTTACCTGACTTGATGGATCATCCTTCATGAGGGTGGGAAATGTAGGTTCTCTCTGGAATGTGCATGGCCTTCAGTATGGGGGTGACTCTCCCTAGCAACCCAAGGGTTGAGGACCCAAGAATCCTGCAGAAATGCCTGCCTTGGACTGCCCTTTCACCAATCCATAGCCCTTTCTGTAGCCCAGGGCTGAAGCGATAGCACAGTGAGTAGGGCATTTGCCTTGCATGAGGTCAACCCAGGTTCAATTCCTCTGTTCCTCTCAGAGAGCCCTGCAAGCTACCGAGAGTTCTTCCCGCATGGCAGAGCCTGGCAAGCTCCCTGTGACATATTCGATATGCCAAAAAAAATCAGTAACAACAAGTCTCACAATGGAGACTTTACTTGTGCCCAATCGAGCAAATCGGTGAACAACAGGATAGTGCTACAGTGCTTCTGTAGTCTAGAGGAATATGAGAGCAGCCTCTGATGATCCTGGACAGGTGCTCTCTGCTTTGGGGAAGCAGAGCCTTCCCTTTGGGAAGAATTTAGAAGGCTATTTTGGGAGGGGATCTGAGAAAGCTCACATTTCCCCCATGTTATTAAATGGAAATAGCATCCCCAAAGCCCAGGCACTGAGATATAGCCATGAAAATAATTGCATTTTAATGGGAAACAGGCATATCAGAGGCAATAAGGAACAAACTCTCTCATACCGATACACATCAGACCAGATAGATAATATTAGGGATAATATTTGAGCAAGGAAGTGAGTCTTGAATGTGCTCACTTGGATGAGGACCATCTCAAGCAGAGCTGACAGCCAGTGCAAAGGTCCTGAGGCAACAGAAAACTTGGTAGTAAAGGAACATCAAAAAGGTCTGAATGGTTGGAGCAGCGTGACTGGGTGGAATGGGTGGAATAAAATGGTGCCAGGGTAAGGGCTTTATACCTCATGTTAGGGACTGTAGGTTGGTTTTTTTTTTGCTTCTTTGGGTCACATCTGGTGATGCGCAGGATTTACTCCTGGCTCTGCACTCAGGGATTATCACTGGCGGTGCTCAGGGGACCATATGGGTTGCTGGGAATTGAACCTGGGTTGGCTGCATGTAAGGCAAACACCCTACCCACTGTGATATTGCTCCAGCTCCTGGACTGCAGATTTTTAGCTGGCATATAGAGTCTGAAAAGAACAGTGATGGTGGAGTGAGACAATGTGTTAGGTCAGAGGGAAGTTGTGGATCCAACTCAGAGGGCTGATGGCATGCTATGCATGCAGATTCAATCCCCAGCACCACATGGTCCCCTGGTCCCTTCTGGGAGTGACCCCTGAGCACCTTTTGGTGTAACTCAAAACCAAACAAAATAATTGCCCTCTGTCATAAGGTGCTTGGGACCCCCAGTAGCGCCTGCGCTGAACAGGAATGTTGACAACTACTCCCACGAGAGCCCAAAGGACCAAACAGAAGATCCAGGCTCGCCACCCCCCCCCCCGCCCCACCAACACACATACACACACACACACACACACACACCCCACCACCACCGCCATCACCACCACCACCATTGATTCCAGTGGAGGAAGGCTACCTCCCACATCAGGTGTCTGAGCAGTAATTGCCCAGCATCTAACCAGTGACTTTGGACTTTCCTATTCATACCTGAGCTATCCTGTCCCTCTATCACCTTTTCCTGCTTTCTTCCACCAGGCTGCCTTCTCTGCCCCCACTTACTTGGCTTGCCACGAAGCTCCAGGGGGTTTCTGTCGGTATATTCCCAGCCTCCTCCAGACCTTACCTTCTTTTCTCTTTTCTTCAGGGTGTGGGGGTCATTTGGGCCACACTTAGGCATGCACAGGGGCTATTCAAGGCTGGGGATTTTACCAGGTTTGGCCACATGCAAGGCAGATGCCTTTACCCCTATACTATCTCTGCATCCCCCCAGATCTGGCTTCCTTCCAAGACTGGAACACGTCTGATTTATTTTTTTGTAGCCCTAGCACAGAACCTGGCACAAGCCTTCTCTAATGTGTGTGTGTGTGTGTGGGGTGGGGTGGGGGGGTGGTGTGCGCGCGCGTGTGTGTGTGTGTGTGTGCGCGCGCGCGTGTGTCCCATTTCCCAAGAGGAAGGATAGCAGCCTGGATCGTGCCCACAGAAGAGGGGCAACCCTCTGCTGCCCCACATCATCTGTCCTGTGTGCTGTGGGATCTGGGAAGGGAAGCCATCCCTTTCTCTCGGTCCATTTGCTCTGCCCTAAAGGCATGTGGTTCTGCAGAGAGAGATTCATGGCAGGCTGACCTCCTTAGATCTTCCCCTATCTCAAAGAAGCATAAAAGCCAACCTCTCCTTAATGCTTTCCATTCTGCCATTAATTTACTTTTCAAAAGACACCTTGTCGAGCCGAAGATGGTATCTGTAAAGCGTGTTTTTACACCCACTCCCTATAAAACCTGCGATGATGAATCTGCCTTGTCGGGCACCTCGGGAGGGGCATCTGCTTCTCTTTGTGAGCACCGGGCCCCAGGAGGAGGAGGCTTTGGTCTTACCGAGGCTTGTGGTTCTGGCCGATGCTGCTGTGTGTTCATTTCTGAGATTGAGCAGAAGCGTGGCGCTGGGGGAGGTGCTCTCGGCTCTCGGGGTATCTGACAGTTCCTAAATCCCTGTGTTGCCTCCCAAGCAATCTCTTGGCTCTTGGTTTTCTTCCCTCTCCCCTGTACCTCCTCCCCTACTCCAAGTCTCTGTGCTGTCCAGGTGGGGGAGCTGGATGAAAGCCACATTCAAATCCTGACCTGTTCCCCCAGCCTTGTGACTCAATAGGCTTGCTGAGACTCAATTTCCTTAACTGTAAAATGGGGCCCTCAAAACAGATCTTCAGGGTCGGACTAGGTATAAGTAGACAGAAAAGCATCCTTGTGGTGACCTTGAAGCTTTCTCACCTCCACTGCAGGGGAGTTGTGGTGCTACTTTCCATGTAATTTTATTTCATGGGGGTGGGGATGGGGGCTTCTAGGCAGAGACTAGGGGCCACAGGCCATTCCCAGCAATGCTCAGCCCAATATGTGGACCTGACAATCTGTGTCTTTTTTTGGGGGGGGTCCACACCCGGCAATGCACAGGGGTTACTCCTGGCTCTGCACTTAGGAATTACTCCTTGCAGTGCTTGGGGGATTATATGGGTTGCTGGAAATCGAAACCGGCTCAGCCGCATGCAAGGCAAATACCCTTCCGGCTATGCTATCACTCCAGCCCCCAGTCAGTGTCTTATGCCCCATGATGCTGTGTTGTTCAGACCCGGTGGTGCTGTGAACCACCAGGGACTCACTAGGTGGTGCTCAGGGGCCCGTGTGGTCCAGGGCTTGAGCTTGGGGCTTCATGGACCAGCGGAACTGTTAAAACTCCTGATATCTAACTCTCCCCCTTCAAAGATTCAGATATAATTGGTATGAGGCGCAGTCTCCACACACCAGGGTTTTAAAACTCCCCAGGTAACTGTAATGGGCAGCCAGGGTCGGGAACTGCTGTTTTTAGATCAAGCTTCAGCATCCTCTATAAATTGCGCTTGGCTCAGCCAATCTACCCTTGCTTCTCTAACATATAACTAAGGAATGAAATTAATTACTAATATAAATTAGCTTAACAGTCAAGTAATTTAAAGATGGAATAAGAAGCATTAAGGGAGTTTATTTCTTCTTTCAGGTAGAAAAGCTAGAGGGTTTGGAAATAAACTTCTGAACTATAAGCTTTATGATTAGCAAAAATAATAATGGTGATACACATCATTTAGCACATTATGTCCAGAGTGCTGAGTTTTTATATAATATTTTGTTTCCGTTCACCATCTTTGTACTCCCAACCCACACACTCCTACTATTTTCTCACCTTTAAACTTTGTTTTATGGTGAATTTCTGTTCTGTTCTGTCTTAAAGATCACTAATTGCCCCCTTCTCTCTCCCCTAATCCCATCTCCCATCCCCGCTGGCCAATGGCTAGTTCAAAAATCCTTTCAGATTTGGTCAGGGCCCACTGCCTAGACAACATACACAGATGTGGAATGGAAAAACTTTTCCTGGCTTCCACCAACAGTTCTTTGTGTAATACATTTTGGCATTAATTTAGCAATTAATTTTCTGTGGCCCTAAATTCCCCCTCCTAATTGTTTCATGTAGATTGTATCACATGAATAAGAATAAGTCTTATAACTTGTTTAAGAGGTTGGAGGATTCAGGAAGGATAGAAGAAATACCTGTATGGATGGACTCACATATAATCAGATATTGCTTCTAGCAACTATACACTGAAAATTCTGATTTAATCCCTGAACTCCCAATCTAGGGAAGAGGTACTGGATTTCTAGGTAAGCAGAACATTCCATTCAGCATAATATGTTGTCTGTGTGAGACAGGAGGGAACATAGGAATAAGAGCCACTGCTGTGGAGATAGAGAAGCAACTGCTTCAAACTAAATTTAGGGACCTTATCACCATGAAATGAATGTCCCTTCTACAGGCTGGCTCCCCTCTGAAAGATCAATCCATCTGGACCTCTTTGAACTGGCTCTAGAAATCAGTCCCTTACTGCATCCACAAATGGTATGTGGTCCCTCCCCATTAAAGGTTCCTTTGTTTTCTGGTGATGTTGTGCTCATTCCCAGCAAGGCTGATTCCTGACCTCAGAATAACCATCTCTGGGGATACAGGAGGCAGAGACTAGCCACAGCAAGTAGTTCAGTCATTACTAAATGTGAAGGAAAAGCATCATGAGCTGTGAGGTTCATGGTATTCCTGGTAAGAATTCATGCAAACAAGGGTGATTGATTTTATATAAGAATGTGCTGACTTCAAATGAGGAATCTAGAAGGAGCTCAAGTCAACCTTTCATATTTTTTCTCATTCTGGTCTATCTGCTTATCTTCAAATCAGCAATAGTCCTATGAGTGAATAGATGCCTTATCAATGAACTGAGATCATTCTCATCCTACTTTATTTGAAGAACATCTGCCTGCCTTATCCTTGAAGATCTTGGAAGTTCATATAAGATAAGTTCTGTGTGTGTGTGTGTGTGTGTGTGTGTGTGTGTGTGTGTGTGTGTGTATGCTGTGAGCAGGATGGAATCAGAGAGCACTCAGCACTCAAGTTTTGAATGACTGAGCTTTGTGGGTAAGAAAACCAATGGGTATAGACTTGATACAGCCTGAACTCAGAGCTGAGAATGGCAGGACTAAGTCCTTGCTGATTTTGCATCTTTCTTCATGGCAGAAATCTTCATCCAGTGGTCACTATGGTTAGTGAGCACTGCCAAATCTGCCCCAGACTCCGCAGAGGCCCTCAGCAGGCTTGAGTCTGCATTCCCCGCCCTGGACAAGAGGCTCCTCCATTCTGGGGTGCTGGGTTGTTGCACTCTCTCCTCCTTTCCTGGGTGCCTGCTGTGCAAGCTGACCAGGAGCTCCAGCAGCTCCAGTGACCATCCGCCTTGTCTCCTGCATAGACAACACCCCAGAGAGGAAGACATTAACATCTAAGCAGCAGCTTGGGCAGTCGGGAGATATCCCCCCAGTCCCCACCTCCTCTCCCCACCCCTGCCACTGCCCTCGAGTGGTCTTCAGCCCCCTCCTTGGAGAAATGCCTTGGTGTGCCCAACCAAGACCTTTCTGCTCGCTGCCTCACACTTAATTTGAAACTCTGAATGGAGTGGGATGAGGCCACTGGGAGTCCATCTGATGAAATTGGAATCCACGGTTCCATGGAAGATGGATAGTGGAGTAAGGCACACCAACTCTCAGCTCTGCAAGAATGATATGGAACCACTGGAGGGTGTGACGAGTAGGCAGCTCAGCCCAGCTGGGTATGCCCAGCATTACTATGACCCACAGACTGGAGGGTGTTACTGCCAGGGTTTGGACTCCCTGGGTCCAAACCCACTCAGACCCACCAGACTCAGGGCCATAGTGGGAGCAGATATTCTGCACACACATAGCACAGAGCATCCCCCCACCCAAGCCTGGTCTTCTCCATCCCCCCACTATGAGTCTGCAGCCTCCCACTGCCTCTATGCCTCTGGACTAGCTGGTCTCTCTGACTGAGCTGACCACTCTATAAAACAAGTAAGATGTGCTGTTCTAGGCAGTGCCAGGGGCTGCTCCACTATCATTTTTCCATAAATACTTTTTATTCCTAAATTAAATCCTATGTGGACCCCACCAGAGAAGTCTGATGACACTGGAGTCATTCTGTTTTTGAATGGGCTGTTTCATTAGGCCTCTTCCCCTTCAGCCATCTCTGAAGACCCCAAGATCCCTTTATGTGTGTCACTGGATTAGATGATCTCTAGGACCCTTTCAGCTCTGTAATTATTGTCCCTGGTGGGGAGCCACAGCAGAGCTCTCTGTCCCTACATCCCTCCTCTATGACTGGGTCTCCCACAGGCAAAGGGCTGCTGGGGAAAATCTCTCTAGACCTACATCTGAGTTCCTATGAAGTGACCGACTCCCCAGCTTTAGATGTCCTTGCCAAATTGATTTGTCAGCCTGAAAGTTCAATCTGATAACTCCAGGGCCACCTGATGTCCGCACTTCACTTAGAACAAAGTTCATGGATCACTCACAACCAGTTGGATATTATCTCGCGGGGAAAAATGGAGCTTTGCATGGACGACCCTGCTCTTTGTTCCCTGTCACAATCCCTAAACCACGGACATCATGCCCCTTTCTCCATGCCTGTCTTATGCATTACACTCACCATGGCTGCTGCACAAACCAGCACCAGATCTGGCATGTCTAAGTTGTCTGCATCCCTGTTCGTTCTATCTCTGTGCTGTGTAGACAGGAATCTAATCCATTCTCTGAGGACTCTGGGAGAGTTACAACTACCCAAAAGGGACTCACATCTGTCCCTTTAAATTGGGTCGGGATTGGGCTGGAGCGATAGCACAGTGGGTAGGGCATTTGTCTTGTACACGACTGACCCGGGTTCGATTCCCAGCATCCCATATGGTCCCCTGAGCACCACCAGGAGTAACTCCTGAGTGCAGAGCCAGGAGTAACCCCTGGGCATTGCCGGGTGTGATCCACAAAGCAAAAAAAAAAAAAATTGGGTTGGGATGAACAGAGACATTCTGTACCTTTCTGTTCTCAAAAATGACTGTCATTGCCATCTTTTCAGACCACATGTTCTCGTTCTTACAGTTCTCTGATTCTTAGAAAAACAATCAAGGAATGCAACAGTTCAGAGCTTGAACCCTTGAATCAGCAGGGCAACTGCATCCAAATCCTGGCATTGACACCCTCAAGCCAAGGACTTTGAGCACTATCTCTTCTCTCCCAGTTTCGTCATCTAAAAATTAGCGCTGATAATTTTTTATCTATTCAGGTTCACGGGAAAGCAAGTGAGAGATGAGAGCATGCCTGGCCACAATGGAGATTTGTTATCTTTTCCATGCCTTGAACTTTGGTCCCTTTAGGTCAGTTTTTTAGCAAGTGGGGAAAATGAGGCTGGAACCCAGTCCACATTCTGCTTGGGAAATCAAGAAATCTCTGGGCAATCTCATCCCCAAGTACAAAGCAGGCAACTTGTGTGGGCCCACCCAAATTTCACTCACTTTGACCATCACAGGAGGGCTTAGTCTAAGTGTCAACTAGAGATGCCCACATGGAACTGGGAAATCCTGTCATTCAATAACCTATCCAGACCAGAGCCTCCTGTTTAAAGCTGCTCTCCCAGTGAAGAAATGATACCCTACCATCATATCATTTACATACCAGGCCTGCTAGCTGGAGATCTCCCTGGAATTCTGTAGAAATGAGTACTATGGTTTCTTCCAAGCCAAAGTGAATTTACCAGTTCATCAAGTTGTTCCCTCTTGCTTAACTCATAGTCTCAGTCTTGAAGAAGACGATAGTCCTAGAGGCCATCTTACCCCACTGTCCATCAGATTATGAATTTTTTCTATAGCTTCCTTATTAGTGAGCATCCCTCCCTCCCCACATTCCACAAACACCAAGTCTTTCCTCACTGAGCCAAGATATCTTTGGTATCACTTCACTCCTCCCTTCTAACTGCTCCATCTCAGCAACATAGAACAAGTTCTATTACTTCCCACATGGCATTTCTGGTGGGACTTGACCTTTTCAGAGTCTACTCTATGCTAAAAATCCCTAGCTTTCAAAACCAGAGAGATGCAGGGGATAAGGTGTTTTCCTTCTGTTCAACTGACTGTGGTTTAATTTATAGCATTTGAAAAAGGTCCCCTAAACACTGCCAGGACAGACTCCTGAGTAACACTGTGCATTGCTCAAAACACAAATTCCTAACTTTTCATCTTAGAAGTAGGTTTGAGCTGGAGACTCAAGATGGTTAGTTCTACAATGCTTGCTTAGTTTTATGATGCTTGATTTGCTTTGCCAATGGCAGATGAAATGTGATGCTAAGTAAAAGTGCTTTTGTGTCAAAGAAGAATCTTGCTCTAGGTTCCTTCTACTATCCTAGAGCTTCATAATGGGGCAGGATGTACATGCTATTGACTTCTTGAATGAAAGGACTCGCTTTCTCTATTTCACATCTACCACCAAAGTCTCATCTATCCTGGGCTTCAAATAATTTCATGGCCACAAGTGCCATAACCTGAGGTTTCCTCGACCAGATTTCTCTGTAAAAATTTCCTTTGTCCTTTTGCCCCCCTTTAATTGCTAGCTTAGAAAATTTCCTATATAAATTTTCTCACCCATATTTCTTGGCCATCATTTCATTATTACACCAAGTGAGCCATTTTGAATGCATGGAAAAGGATTGAAACATGCAAAGAGATTCCTAGAGTTTCAAGGAAATTTTGATTAAAAAAGATGTGCACTACCAACACATTCTCTCTCTTTCTCTTTCTCTCTCTTTTTCATTCTCTGTCTCTATCTTTCTCGCACCCCACACAGACACACATACACACACACACACACACACACACGCACACATAAAATCCAATCAGAGTCTCACTGCAAGTTAGTGAAGTAGCTGAAATTCACATCCTGATCTCTATGCTCTTCATTTTTAAAGGGATATAATGCCTTTCCCTTGTTTAAAGACTTTATCTGGAACTAGGGTGGTTCATGCTCTAGCCATAAAAGTTTAAACCTTATTTGCTGAAAGCTAAACCTTATGACTTGTAGTCATAACTTTTTGCACTATAATGACAACTCTTGTAGTGGGTTAAATTGTGCTATTCCCTCCCTGCCCCCCCCAACATACACATAAGATATACAGAATGGCACCCACCATTACCTGTGGCTGTGGCCTTATTTGGAAGTAAGAACTTTGTGAATTAAGTAAGTTTGAGATGAGATCCAGTTGGACTAGGCTAGATCCTAATCCAGTGACTATGTTTTTAGAAGAGGAAACTGGTGAATGCCCTTGAAGACAGGAAGGGATGGGAATGATACATCACTGATCCAAGGAGCTCTAGGGAATGTCCATACCCAACAGAGGGTGAAAAATGTCTGAATAGCTTCTCCTGAGAGCCTCCAATAGAAATCAACCTGCTCTGCATCCAAAGTTTGCACTTATAACTTCTAGATGGGTATACAGAACACCCTTGTTGCTTGTAGCCACTCAGCTTGTCATTTTTGATGACCCCCCCCCCAAAAAAAAAACCTTCTAAAATATCTTCCAGGAATGAATCCTGCTGTCCATTCTATACCTTGGTAAATTTAGTTCTCATCTAAGAATGAGTATTAAGAACAGTGAGAAAACAGATAAAGACCATTAAATGAGAGGGAGCAGGTCTGCCATAAAGCTCTGAATATGGCCATCTAGAATAGGCAAGAGAGGAGAGGCAAGTCTTGACTGTACTGTTCCCTGAGCCAAGGCCAGGAATGAGCCTGCAAGCCTGTGAACCTCTTTCTTACCTGACCGCTCTGTCTCTTCACAGGCCAGGCCCTTGTAGCCTGGGGTGCACTGACACCTGCAGCTGGTGCCCTCAAGGATTGGTTTCCCATTGTTGAAGCAGGGCCCGCAGCGGCAGGCATTGAACTCCATCAGGTACTGGTCCCAGGCCCGGCGCAAGTTCTGCCGTTTGGTTTCTAGCGGCCCCAGGGTTGTGTAGCGCAGCAACTCATGAATGGGCTGCAGCTGTGGGCACAGAAGGAAGAACCCCTGGGAGGGTTATGTCCAGCTTCCCAGAACCCCAGTTCTGTCCCCTCAAACTTCTAGAAAGTTTGCTGTATAGAGGCAGACACTCAGCATCCCCACACCAGGCTGGAGTGGTGTGAACTGGTTATACTGGGCAGCCCAGTGCCATACTCGCTCAGCTCATAGGTGTAGTGGCCCCTGGAGGGTGGGAGAGACCAGCTCAGGATTCACGGTTAAAGGAAGAGCCCCCCTGAACATGAGTCTCTGCCACGGAGACCACTGCTCCCTGATCCTGAGGGGAGTCATCTGAGCCAACTCCTCTGCCACTTCTGCCATGTGGAGGGAGCTGCAGAGGGGGCTAGCTGCTTGCATGCATGCATTCATGTGTGTGTGTGAAGTGGGGAGGGGTTCTGATTTGATTGTCTGTATTCAATGCAGGAATATGTGAAGTCCTAGATGGGCAGGGGTGTTGTTGTTGCTAGCTGATTCCCCTAATGATTGTGTGTGTGTTTGTGTGTGTGTGTGTGTGTGTGTATTGGGGTGACATTAAGGTAGCTTATTGAAGCCATGCCTGTCATCCAGACTTCTCTACCTTGGCATGCTGGTTTGTCTAGCTGGATAGCTCTTTGCGGTCAGGTAAGGTGGGTGGGTGTGCTGTGCATCATGGGATGCATATCGGCATCTCTAGTATCTGCATGCTAAATCAGCATCCTTCAACCTTCATATCTCTCTGGACCGGCCCCTGTCCTGCACATCAGCCAAGGGCCATCAGATAGAACCAAGGCAGTAGAGCAGGGGTTTCACCCATTCTGTGCCTGTGACAGGCAGTGGTGTGTGGTCCGATGCGTGAAAAATACAGATCTAGATGCCTGTGACACTGGCCATTGGTGACATCCTAAACTTTCTCCTGACATTGACACCACCCCTGAGGATGTGGCTGATGTCTTAGCACTAGAGCTGGGGTTAAAAAGTCTGGCTCCAAATCCAAACTCACCACCTGCAGCTGTGCAGTCACCGCCATGCCTCAGGGTAGGGGTAGGGGAGGCTCTGCCCTGTGGAGTGAGGGCGTTTTGTGGTATTGTGTGGATCCAAGATGACAGGCAGGAAAGGCCTGATGCCTGATCAGTACTAAATCAAGGCTGCACACTGCCTGGCCCTGTGGCCTTGATCTCTTCCCCATACCTGGGACTCCTTGTCTGGGAATTGGGAAGAGTAACCCGCCTCCTAGGATTCTTCGTCAGTCTAAAGAAACAGAGTCTGTGAAATAGCATCGCAGAAGGGAAGGACAATGTAAAATCAAGCACCATTTTATCAGTGAGATGTGGTGACAGTAAAAAAGTCTGTATTTCTCAAATTGTGTGTCCATATGGCTCGCCTCTGCACATCTATCACGCAATCTACTTTAATGCACAGCCGTAAAGCTCTGTCCCGGGGTTCTCATTTCACAGGACAGTAAAGGGAGGCCCCAGAGAAGAGTGATGGTCACAGAAACAGTGATTCAGAGCTTGGGCCGATCAAAAGTCAGCGGAGAGTCCTGGCCATCTCTTTGGACAGGTTCCTGGAAAATTGTACCAAGTGACAGTGTAAACTGACCTTGGCTGCTGGCCAGGAGCTATGTATTAGCTAACCAGACTGCTCCTGTCAGGAGCAGGCCCCTTCCTGGAACTCCAAAGAACTTGGCCCCGTTGTCAGAAGCCAGTGTGGAAGGGACCGTTCCTTGATGGTTAAAGCTGATTCCATTCCAGCAAAGTCCAGGATCTTGGAGCTGCCTTCTTTTCAGGGGGCCAGTACTCAGCCCCCTACCTCCCACCTCCATCTTGGAATGCTCAGAAAGAGGGAGGGGAGGCCCCTCTGGAAGAACTAGTTTGCGAGGAAGGGGAGAACGGTGGAGACAAAGAATGAAAATGGTGAGAATTTGAAAAGCTTTTGGCCACAGTTCTTGGTCTCACACTGTAGGTGAGAAAGCAGTTTTAGAGAAGGCAGGCATGGGGTCTGGTCACACTGTGTAACAGAGAAGAAGGAACAGAGAACAGATTGTAGCATTGGCACATCAAATTGAGCAGATCAGATGATTTCTCTGTCCATTGGTCTAAGCATTGGCCACCAAATAGGATAATTAAGTGCTGGAGATACACAAGGAAATGAGATGCTGTTTCTGCTCTGAGTGGCACATGCTAAATAACCCCCTCATTGGCCTCCTTGTCTTCAATCTGTCTCCTTTGATTCCTACTTCATCCCTCATGGGCTCGTCATCTCACTTCTTGCTCTTGTGGCTTCAAGCTCAAAACCCTGATATCTCGAAGCTAATGCAGGCTGGGAAGCCATCCTGGGTTTGACAGTCAGACATGGATGGAGTGCTGAGTGCTGACCCCCTGAAAGGGAGGTGACCCTGCCCTGTACTGACAATGAGAGCCAACCAGGTTTCTCATGTCCAGGAGCTAATTCCCTCAACTGACATTGGCTGTCTACCTTCTTCTCTCCCCCACCCTGGGATGGATCATTTTGTTATTCTCATATTATAGTCCCAGAAATAGGGGCACAGAAAACAAAATCACTGGTTCAAGGTTACATATTCAAATCATGTCTGAGCCATGAGTAATACTCTTTCTTATCCCACAGCAGGGCTCTTCCCCCTCCCCCACTGCACAAGACCATATTTAGGCTTCTTCAAATCATGACTGATCTTCCCTCTTTCATTCCCTGGGAAGGCAAACACAAAGTTTCACCTCTTGCCCGTGAAAAGTTTTCATATTATTCCTGATGGCAATTTTACAGTTTTTGCCCAAATCACTAGTAGCTTGATGACATTAGTTTTCAGACACTGTGTGAATTACAGATGCATGAAAATGGTCTCTTACTTATTGGGGAAAAAAATGAAATCAGGGATAATCCAGCTGATCTCTTACTTCAGAGAGAACAGGGTGTTACAATGAATTTTTGGTTTAGCTGTTTAATAATATATATTAAGAGGAGAAATGCCTCCGTGTTAAATTTCAGATAAATTTTAAATCTGAGTAGAAAAAGGAACATGAGTCCAGAGACAATGGACAAGAATACATGCTGTTTGCTTTACTGGCCTCCAGTACAGCTTGCTTTCATGGACCACCCTGTGTATTAAGAGAAGCAGTTATACAACTAATAGGACATTCCACTTTCATTGCAGCTTGATTGCAGTATTTGGTCCTTGTAAGAATAGAGGCTTAAGGCAGAGTTTATCAACATAAACCCTATTGACATTTGGAAACCATATGTTTCTTCGTCATGGTGCTATTCAGTACATATGTATGTCTAGCAATATCCTGATCTCTTACTTCCTAAATTCCAATAATGCTGTCCTAGACAAAGCACTGCAGTTTAGCACTGTCCTCTCTTTGTTCTTCAATTTGCTCAAGCGGGCACCAGTAACGTCTCCATTGTGAGACTTCTTGTTACTGTTTTTGGCATATTGAATGCATCACGGGTAGCTTGCCAGGCTTTGCCGTGTGAGAGGGATACTCTCGGTAGCTTGCCACGCTTTCCGAGAGGGATGAAGGAATCGAACCCGGTCAGTCATGTGCAAGACAAATGCCCTACCCTCTGTGCTATCGCTCCAGCACCACTATTTAATAGTGCTGAAAATAACAGACCCATCATGGACATCATGGACACCTAGGAAGGATGATTTTCATACTGCTCAAGGAGTCCTTTCTCCTAAATTTACTGTGAGTCAAACAAACAAGGGTGTGTCCAGACTTTGCCAAATCTATGTGGCAACACAGCTTGCTGTTGCCCATGGTCACCAGCCATGGCTTTCAGGAAGGGGGCAAAAGAGAGGAAAATAAGAAATGGAAGAAAACCTAAAGCCGGGGTCCTGGTCCACACAAGGAGCTCTCTCTGGGATTTTAAACATTCACTTGGTTGTTCAGAGCTTTAGTTTCCTAATCTGTCCAATGGGAAGAACTGTCTAGCCAGACCCCCATTGTGAGAAGGAAATGAAACATTTAGAGCCGGAGCCTCCAATTACAGTGTGGGCCACACTCAGCCCACAGCTTGTTTTCCTATGTTCTTGGAACTAAAAATAGTTTTCTACATATTTGAAAGGTCATAAAAGTAAAAGAGGAGGAAGAAATGAGAAGGAGGGGGAGTTGAGGGAAAGGAAGGAGGAGGAGATGAAGTGGAGAAAGAAAAGGAAAAGAAGACAAAGAGGTGGAGAGAGAGGGAAAAGATGACAATGGAGATGAGGATAGAGAGAGAAAGGAGAGAACTTAATCTGACAGAGACTATTGGTTGCCCACAAACTCTAAATTACTTCCTACCTGGTTCCATATCATAAGAGTTTGTCACCCTCCTTATCAAGAGTTTGTCAAGCTCACTCAGTTTCTGTCCAAGAAGTAGGTAAAGGGATATACCTGATAATCTTTCAGTATCTGTATTGCAAACCATAAGGCCCAAAAGGGGAAAGAGAGAGAGAGAGAGAGAGAGAGAGAGAGAGAGAGAGAGAGAGAGAAAGTTCCTGCCATAGAGTAGGGATGGGAGGGAAACTGAGGACATTGGTAGTGGGAAATATACACTGGGAAAGGGAAAGGTGTTGGAACATTACATGACTGAAATCCAATCATGAATAACTTTGTAACTGTATATCTCACTGTGATTCAATTTTTTAAGCTGTTAAAAATATTAAATAATTAAAAAAATAAGTTTATCACCCTCCAGTTGGACATAGGTGATTTTTAAGGCTCTTTATATATAATGTAAATTATTCTTATTTGGATGTGATCTAACCCTGAATAAGATCCGGGACTCCCAGTACAGGCACTGAGAAGGTAGGAACTTTATGCTCCCTACACACAGCTCTGGGTCCTGCAGGTGTGCACTTTCAGGGCCAGACATGGAGAAAGCCACCAGGTCAGCCTGCTGTTACATTTAATTTTGTTCTTTGATGGGCTCCTAGGAAGAAATATGAAATGATCTGCTCTGCTTCACTTTCATTCCTTGTGGACGCAGAGTTTCTTCAACTGCAAAAAGACTTACCTCAAAATCAATAACAATAGGATTATACTTTAATGACCTCCCCCAGGATCGGTATGTAATGGTGCTGCTGTTCTGTGTCAAGCCACCACCCCAGCCAGCGCTGCCACCACGCACGAGGGAAATGACGTCCTGTATCACCTGATTGCTCTTGTCAGTGTCTGTGAACAGAGAACAGCTCTGCATCAGCCCATTTCAACAACAGCCGGAGGACAGGTGGGCAAGCTCCCATTCCCAACGCAAGGGGTCTCTCTTAAGGATGCCTCCTTAAGGATGTTCACTAGTGACCTGTGCAGAAGGAAAGGACCAAGTCTGAGACATAGACTAGAGGTCAGGAGGACAGCCCAGACTAACATGGAGATTGGACAGGTTGGTAAAAGGTACGATCCAGTCATGGATTTTTTTTTCTCCCGTGTACCAAATGTTTGCTCAAGACCTTTTATAGTCTATGAAATGGGTCCTCTGATAGTTATTTCTAGGGGGCTCAGTGGAGCATGAAGAAAGATGTGACCCAATTTATGGTAGGGTGTAGGGGGTGGGAACCCTAAAGGAAGGTGAGAGAACTAGATAAGTGAATGCTGGTTTTCAGGTAAGTGACGAATGGTGTGAGAAGAGTATCCATAAGAAGAATGAGAGCCTAGTACAATGAGAATGACTTGAACATGTTTCATATTGACCTCATTCTATTCACCGTAAGCATTCCTCATCCCCGTATCCTCTGTGACTCCACTCTGAAGAGCAAATACTCAAAACCTATTGAATGGGGGGTATAGTGCCACCAGCAGGTCAATCTATACCTGTGAGGTGAGTGCATCAGCGGCCTAATGGCACTGTCAGACTTTCAGATACCTCAAAATTGCTGCTGTGCCTTTGGCTAGATCCCAAAAACTTGGGGCAAAGTTTACCAAGAAAGTAAACAGCCAAAAGTTAGGTATGTGGGAGACACACCCACAAACCACCTCTGGTTCAGCTATATAATTGGAAGCATGGCCTCTCTGGTTCCTGATCGAACTGCTTAATGGCCATGATCCCAGAGACTCAGAAACGAATCTCGGAACCCAAAGGCTTTTGGCAGAAATGAGTCCTGTTCCTGCACTAGGTTACTGGTGCTGGGCCACTCCAGGTGGGAATAGGTTTTGTGCCTTGGCTGTTCCCCCTGGTGGCCCGGTGACCGCCATCCTCCAGAGGGCACTGGACAGTCAGGTTTGTGCCTGCAGTGGGGCTTCACCAGATGGGGGTGGAACCGGCCCTTTCCTCCCCATCCCAACAAGACCCCGAGTTGCCACCTACAAACAGCCTCTCTGGCTCCTGATCAAGCTGATCTACTAAAGGCTATGATCCCAAAGACTCAGAAACAAATCTCAAAATCCAGCGGCTTTTGGCAGAAATGCATCTGGACTGCATACAAGGTGGCCACCACCTCAGAGCTTATAGGAAAGCCAGATATGAGCCGGCGGTGATGGGGCAACTGCAGTCTCATGGGAAGGGGGGCGGTACCGGCTTGTCCTTCATGCCCTACCGAGGTCAAGAGTTGCCCGCCACAAGCGGCTCTCCTGCACAGCCATAACACCAGATGCACAGAAACCAATCTCGCAATTATCTGGCTCTGCAGAAATCCAAAATCATTATATGATTCTCATAACAGCTATAGAAAACAAAGTATTTCACAATGCCTTTTCAGCAATTCTCATTGTTGGGGGGGGGGGGGGGGAATTCTAAACAATAATGGTGCATCTTTTGTCGAAATAATGAATGTAATCAATGTAGAGAAGAATTAAGTGGAAATCATCTGCCTCACAGGCATTGGGAGGGAGGGAGGGGGGTATATTGGGGTTCTTGGTGGTGGAAAATGAATACTGATGAAGGGAGAGGTGTTTGATCATTGCATGATCGAGACTTAAACCTGAAAGCTTAGTAACTTTTCCCACAGTGATTCAATAAATAAATATAAGAAGGAAAAAACCCTATTGACTGGATGAATGAATGACTACAAGACTACTCATAGTCAATTGCCTAGATAATGCTGAAAATTTCTCTTGTAAACTCGTTCTCTAATAATCATTCTTTGATTTGGGATTGAAATACATAGTCTGCTCTCCCAGCACAGAGGTTTGCCTCCTCTGATCTGTGTGTAACCTAAGAGATCTTCATTCATCTGAATAGCTGATATTCCAGGTTCTTTCTACACATTCTTTCCATGCCACTTAGTACCAAGCTCAATTTTCTTATGCTTGAAACCTATGAGGGTGTGGCAGAGCCAAGTATTCATTCCTAAGGTGATCTCAGCCTTCAGTAGATTCAAAGTAGAGCTATTGCATGGCTTGTTTGTGTAACAGCCATATCATGTGTACGTTGACTTAAAGGTAGTCATATGTAAGAAAAGGTGACATTGTCTATGGGACTGTGTCCAAAGGAAATCTGGTTTCTTTGGGGGAGAAAATTACTGCTTAATACTTGCCAGTATTGCCATCTCCAATATGTTTACAACGTTCTCCTGATAATTTTGCCTCACCACGTATGAAAAAATATTTTTCGTAATTGATGCCTACAGAACCTCCAAAGCACTTCTTGACATCTTCGCTGGTAACACCTGCAGCAGTGAGAGAACAAAGCAAAGTTCTGAAATGCCGGAATACAATCCTATGTTATGACCAAATCACATCAGCAGAACTAGGTTCCATTTTGAACTCAAGTAGATCTGGACGTGCTAGTTTTCTAATCGAACTTCAGTGACCTCTTCTAAAAGGTTCCAATCCAAATAATTATTGGAATGAGAAAGAATATGAAATGCAAATACTTGCTCAAAAATGCTCTTCACTTCCTCTAAACATTCAGTACTGAACCTCACTGGGTATTGCATTTGCCTCATTCATTTCCATATGCCCTGTACCTAGGTTAGACTCTAATCTATTTCTACATGCCCTACTACCTAGCACAATTACTGTTTTCTCTGTCAATCTGCAATCCATGTGAATATGTGGCACTACATGTAAATGTTCTTCCTTTCTCATCACTCCAGAGCTCTAATTCAAACATTTTCTCAATGAACCATTTTTGAATTGAAACACTTGCTGCTTTCTTGAGAGGTACAAATGTTATTTTGTTTGTACCTGCTGATCTCATTTGCCACAATCATTCATTCACAGTTCTTCTTTGCCCCCATCCCCAAAGGGTCCTGTTAAAGGCTGGATAGCTCTGCCAGGGCTATTTGCTGATTTCTAATCTCACAAGGACAAGGACAAGGATGAGAACAAGGAAGAGGACAGAAGGTCCACTCTCAGTGTCTATATCTATTTACATCTGATGACCTGCTGAGGAACAAGCATTTTTCAGGCGAGGAACATAATTCCCAAAGCATTAAAGTCATTTTGTCCTGATCCCCCAGCCTGTTAGTCAACAAGGCTAACAGAAAAGTGTTCCCAACTCCTGACCTACCTGGCAATATAAGGCTAGGAAGCTAGATCAGAGCAAGATGTTGATCAGGTTTGAGAGTTTAATCCCATCCATAGCAAAGTCTTCTGGAAGTTGTGGACTGGAATTTTCATGCTTGAAATATCATAAATTTTAATTGCAATTGTGCAATACATATTACCATTTTGAAGTCACTCTGTTCTAACTCAGGCTGCTTCATTTCCTTTACTTTGTAGATCTCTCTCTCTTCTCTCTCCCTCGCTATCTCCCCCTTTCCCTTTTCCCTTCCATATCCCTCTTATTCCCTAAATAAAGTTACTCACTTTACTAAAGGGCCAGAGTGATAGCATAGCGGGTAAGGCGTTTGCCTTGTATGAGGCCGACCTGGGTTCGATTCCTCTGCCCCTCTCGGAGATCCCGGCAAGCTACCTAGAGTATTCCGCCCACATGGCAAAGCCTGTCAAGCTACCCGTGATATATTCAATACGCCAAAAACAGTAACAACAAGTCTCACAATGGAAATGTTACTGGTGCCTGCTCAAGAAAATCTAATGGGAGGACGGTGCTACAGTGCTACTTTACTAAAAGTATATTATTACAAATCATTGAATGATTGTGACGCAACCACGAAGAAAATGTAATTTGGACATCATGTTCAGTGTTCTTTCCTACTCCATCTTATCCACCCAATTCAGCACTTCAAGGGCAGTATTGGCAAATATTTGCTTGCCCGCATCCCTACTAAAATGCAAACTCTATGAGGTTAAGTGTTTGTATATTTTTATTATATTATTTTTATTTTTGTCAAAGTAACTTTGCATTATATAGGTCTTAAATGTGCATTGCTATAAATCCATACCTGTAGATACTACATTAAATTTACCACTAAAAGTTAAATTTTATCCTTAATGGACATTTTTTTTCCATGTTGCCCTTCTTCTCCCTTCCCTTATAGTAACCTCTGATTTTGATCTTACAGTCTACATATTCATTTTTGTTTTATTTAGTTCATGCACGTGTTTTTTTGGTACTATTTATGATTGAAATTAGCTGGTGTTTGTCTTTCTCCATCTGACTTATTTAACTAAACATTTACCCCGTAGATTCACTCATGTTTTTGAAAATGCAATGAGTTCATCTTTTTGTAAAATAGCAGTTATGTTCTATTTTGTATACATTGCTCATCTTTTTTAGTCAATTTTCTGTTGATTAGCATTTTAGTTGGGAAATTCAGTTGCTTCTCACTCTTGGTTATTGTGTCATGCTGCAATAAACATGGGGTGCATATATTGGTTTAAATTAATATTTTTGTCTTTTTTAGGTAAATACTCAGATAATAAGATTTCACAATGCTTCTGTATTTAAGGATACCTTTAAATGTCTTGAGAACTTTCCATATTGCTTTTTCAGAATGGCTCTTCCAAGTTTACATTCACACTAACATAGAAGGTTCTTTTCTCTCCACGTTCTCTCCAACATTGTCTTGCATTTTGAATAATAGCCATTTTCACAAGTGTGTGGGAGTATCTTACTGTTGCCCTTATTTGCATTACTTATTTGCATTAATAGATAATGAAATTTTTTCATGTGTCTGTTGACCATTTGCATGTCTGTTTTGGAGAAGAACCTCTTCAGATTCTTTTTCATTTTAAAACTGTTTAGTTTTTGTTGTGGCATTTTATTACTTGTTTAATTATTTTAGGTTTTCTCTCCTTCAGTAAGATACGTTTTCACTTTATTATATTTTCTCTTGCTGTACAGATGCTTATTAGTTTGATATAGTCCCATTGTTCACTTTTTTCTCTTCTTTTTATTGCTCTTGTAGTTAAGCCCTCAAAGACTTACCTGAGGTCACTATCAAGGAGAATATTACCTGTTTTCCTTTATGCGTTTTCTGGTTTCAGGATTTACATGCATGCCTTTCACCTATAGTGAATTAACTGTTATGTATGGTGTAATATAGTGGCTTAGTTACTAGTGAAGTAATTTCATTTTCTTGCATGTAATTGTCTTCATGCAGGACATTCAATCGTCAGTATAGCTGTACATGTCTGTTATGTGGGAGGGATTCAGTAATGATTTTCAGGATAAATAATGGATGAATTAAAACTGAGTGAACAAAAAAATGAACACTACGAATTCTTTGGTAAGGGCTTTCAATGGAAATAATCTAGGAGAATAAGAATCTCAATTCAAGTCCAAATGACTCAGATGTATAATTAAATAGACATTATATAAAATACTTTATTATCTATTCAAAACTTTTTTACACTTAGGTGAAAACTAAAGAGATCTTGCCGGTTGCATTGATATGGATTAACTTGAAGGACATTATGCTAAGTGAAATAAACCAGACACACAGAGAACAAAATTGCCTGATATTATTTAAACATGCAAACTAAAAATGCCAACTCTGTGGATCATTGAAGAGAACATTGGCTTCCAGGAGTGGAGAGGTAGGGGAACTAGGGAGAATATGGCTAAAGAGAGCAGAGTAGCCATTCTGGATGATAAATAAGTCCAGATATCTAACAATCAGCCTATGGACATTGTTCAGGATAGTATGAAATACTGGAAATTTTTGCCTGGGAAGGATGTAGATTTGGGTACTTTTCCCCAAAATACCTTTTGTGCCCCCCAAATATAGGGCAACCATTGAAAGAGAAGATATGTGTATTTCCTGATTTTAGTAATTATTTAAATTTTCTTAAGTATATACAGCTCTTATTTAGAAATAAGATAGGTCCAAAAATAATTGTACGGTTGTATGGTAGGGTGCTTGCCTTGCATGTGCCCACCCTGGGTTTAACCCCTAGTACTACATATTGTCTCCTGTGCCCAGTAGGAGTGATCCCTGAGCCCAGAGCCAACAGTAAGCCCTGAGCATTTTTGTGGAAAAAAAAATATAGCCAAACAAATACTAAAATTGACAACTGGGGTTGAAGCGATAGCACAGCAGGTAGGGTGTTTGCCTTGCATGCAGCCAACCCGGGCTCGATTCCCAGCATTCCATATGGTCCCCTGAGCACCGCCAGGAGTAATTCATGAGTGAAGAGCCAGGAGTATCCCCTGTACATCGCCGGGTATGACCCAAAAAGCAGAAAATAATAATAATAATAAATTAAATAAAATTGACAACCTGTATAAGCATAGAAAGGAAATATGAGATCACTGCTAAGTCTCAGTTTCCCATTTCTTGAGAGAAGGTGTTAGGTTAGCACATCTCCTAGGTTCCTTGTGACCACTCTCCACTCACCCCACCTCACCCTACCTTCACCCCATCACTATGCCTCTCAGTTTTTGATATCTTCTGAGCTGGAAATACTGTAAGAGTGACTTCCCTTCCTCAGTACTACACTCAACATCAGGCCAAGCACTTCTGCCATTTGTGTTCAAGCACTTTTAATTTTTAATGCACTTCTAATTGTGGAAGACTTAGCATATTTAATTGTTTTGATTTAAAAATGATCCAACAGTGATAAACAACAGTGGATGAATGAAACTCATGGGCAGGAAGCAGAGTGATTACTTAGGTGAGTGGTGGAGTGCTGCAGAAGAAACAGGACTGGCTGATTAATGGGGACTTGAGGGTGCGTGGGAGTGATTATGCTCATGAAGGATCTGAATACAGCTACCATGTGCTGCTAAAAGTAAAAATTTCCAGCCTTATTTCAGCAGCATGACTTGACTGTAAAGAATTGATTTTTTTTTCTCGGAATTCCAGTAAGGTCACCAGCTTGACGTATTAAGTAATATGATTTGATAAAGATTCTGCTTCTGGGCAGAATCATCCAGAATGTGTTTGTATCTACCCCACAAACACATTAACTTAAAAAGACATATGCATGCCTATGTTCATTACAGCAGTAAGTAAAATATCTATGATAGAGAAACAACCATATTGTCCAATGACAGATAAATGAATAAAGAAGTTGTGGTACATACACACAATAGAATACTATGAAATTGTAAGAAAAAGGTGAAATCATGGAGTTTGCTGTAACTTGGATGAAACTCTAAGGTAAAATGTTAAGCAAAGTGAGTCCAAGGTTAAGGGCAAATCCCAGATTATCTTACTCAACTGAGGTACGGAGTGAAACAGGACAAGTGAATGGACAGTATCAAGTGATGTCTAAACCTTGACCTTGGATTACAAAGATGAGATGACCAAGCGGTGAA